TTTAATGTTTTAATGTAATTTCTTATTTTTTAAATTTATGTAAATTGGAAATTAATAGAAAGATAATTTTATTTTATGATTTCTAGAAAATAATAAATTTACAAGCTAAGCTATATACTAAATTTCGATATGTACACCAATTTTAGATAGATTCTATTGATCGTTATTCGATAACAGTAAATCTTTGTGTTTCTCTCAGCGTAGAGTCTAGAGAGTATAAATCACGCAAGTATATATAGCGCATGATCGCATAGGCCATAGAGTTTGGTAGAATTTCTAGTTTTTAATCTTGAGATCGTAATCGGGAAGCATATTTTTGTTCTTATATTTACAATTTTATTAGGTATATATTATAAGGTAACGGTATATGTAATTCATGAGTCATGACCAACAACGTCATTAGGAATAAAAATGCATACATGTTCATGTATGATTCCAAAATATTCATGGTTGTGTTGGATTGTAGCATGATAGAATGTCTACTCAAAGAGGAAAGATCATTATTATTTTTTTTGGTCAACAAAAGATCATTATTTAATATATGAATTATAGTTTTTTTTGCCTCTTAATGATTTTTTTTGTGATTTGATTTTCATTTGCTCAGTGTGTGCACACAGAACTAAAAGAGCTCTCTCGCTTGTGATTTGGATGATGGATGTGTTTGCAAAATCATTTGCAAAGTTCGACGATGCCAATATCGCTATCAAAAGAAGCCTTGGAGATCTGCCCTTCCCTAAGGATCCGTCTGTTGAGTCCAATTGGTTTGAAGATTGTCGCATCCAAGCCCTCGTCTTGGTTATGTTCACTTGCATCAAAAGTTCACAGTGATCACAACCTCCATTGTTAGGGTATTGGCTGCTTTGTGGGGTCTTCCAACGCCAGAGGAATACCACAATTACAATAATTCAAAATATTTTAGAACTTTGATAGACGTCGAATTGAATAAAGTATTATGCCTTTTTAATAAAAGTTATACAACAACCGAGAAAACCAACATGGAAATATACAATGATTGATTATGTTTTGATATTCTATAAAAATTAATCAAAAACGAAACAATTTTGGAAAAAGGTTTCTAAATTTTAGATAAGTTTCATAACCTTTTAGTCACTAATCAACCTTTTGTTGCAACTTTTCTTTTATTTTTAGAAGGACAAATCATGATATTCAGATATTTTTAAATTTTACTTTTTACTTATATTCGCTATATTTATAAGTATTCAGATTAGTTTAAACTTTAAAGTCACTGTTTATTTTTTTCACATATTTATAACTAAAATTTAAAAGGCTAAGAGAAGAATCATTATATCATTTCAATCTACTTGTGCCAACAATGCAGTGTTGAAATATTAACACTTAAACGTAGGTGAAAAACTATTAAGACCACATGAGGCCATGACATTAAATATACATATATACAAACTGATTGCAAGTACCTTGGATGTCAAGGCTCCTCCACTGCTGCTTCTTTGGACCTCCCAATAACGTGAAAACTTGATTCCCAACAGGAAGATCCAGAAAAGAGTCAGAAAAGCAGCCTAGTTTTATTGCCTTCTCTGTTATCATGTTTCACTTCATATTGTTAAAAGATTGATCCGTATGTTCAGTTCGGAAGAAACTACATATGCACTTAATCATAACATCATGCCTCAACAAGCTAAGTCATTCCTTGTTATAGGATTTATATGGTAACCAAAATATTTCTAAATATAAAATGATCTGAACCTCCATTTTGATAATCACAATCTAACAAAAATGGTATAAGAGGAATCAGAAGTTATATTGGAAAACTCGTGGATGATGCAAAGAATTGCAAATACAATTGTATTTTCATCGGAATCTGGTCTGTAGAATACAATATCTCTCAGTCGTTGATAAAGGTCAAAGAATAAAAGGCTATTATTTATATCTTGAAAGTTTTTGATCAAGCATAATTCCTATATTGTGCTGAAAATCTTTCGTCTTGTTCATATTTTTTTCTCTAACTCTCTCTCTCGTTTTCTAAAATCGATATTTTCGTTCGTTCTAACTCTTTTCCCTCCGAATAAAGGCGTCAAGCTCTTTTCCTTCACTTCCCCCTCCACCGGAAAATACACCTCACTATTGTTGGAAGTCTCCTTTGCCTGGTCATCGGCTCACGGATTTTTTTTTTAATTGTAACTAGTCCTAAAACCAAAACATTATATTGTAAAGTTTAATTTCGATGCAACAACCTTCAGAGAGAGAGAGAACAAAAAATACTAATGGAACGTGTCCAACAAAGACATAATCACATAAAACCTGTTCGGAATGTTGTCGCTATAACGAGAGCGGCACAAAAAAAGGCTATAAGCAATAGTTTCTTGGGACACAAGAAACAATTGTCGCCGGAAAAAACAGCATCGTACATGATCCCCAGTGTAGTCTCTGGATTCTTCTTAAATTGATTCCCGAACAATGACATAGTAGTAGTAATCTCCATGTGATCCGGGACACTAAAGATTGTACTTTGGCTCCCCCAGCTCAAGGGGCGTTCGAATTCAACTCTTCTAGTCTTGTATTGCATCGGGTCACAAAAGTATGCGTATAACGATTCATCAGAACGCAATGTCTTGGGCGTTATCACAATCTCACCATCACGAGTGACACCTGTGATAATAGTCATATAACGAAACGTATTTGCTAGATCCAGAGGCATCATGAACAATGCAATCTTCGACCATTCTTGTTTCTTCAAATGATCATCTTCTTCCATGATCCACATCTCAGCACTACCGTTAGTCTTGTAACGCACGCATCCTAATTTCCCTTGATAGTTTACCAATGTCGAATCCCAAAACTGATTCATGATCCGAGTGTCTGGTGGCATCTGGATACGATCAAATCTCTCGAATCTAACGTCGAACCTCCCTAATGCACTTATGAAAAGCCTTCCTGTGTAATAGATAAACCCATTGATGCATACACTAGTACTATGTTCCCATGGTGCAGCCAAAATGTCGTCTACAGGTAGTAAGAAATTGTCTGTGACAATGCTTCTCCATTGCCCTAGTTTCTTTGGGCCTCTTAATGTGAAAACTTGACAAGAACACTCCCAATATGGTCTAGTGAAGCACAACACTTTGTATTGATTCTCTACTGGATCATACCCAAAGAATGCATTGAACAAGTTGGTCTCAAAGAATCCATTAACCAAGTTTCTCAATCCATCGTATTTGATCTTTGGTAATAAAACGGATTGTCCACTGGTAGGGTTGTAAATCCTAAACCGATCCGACTTTGACCAACAACAGATTAATCCGTGGACATATCGATGCATGATTAACGCACTAGTTGATGATGATGTATGGCTCCCTTCGTCTGCGGTTATGAATGCTCTGTTGTTGGAGCTTAGAGGATAAGTATACGAGGAGAAAGATGAAGAGTGGAGCATGATGGCGAGTAGGCGCGGCTGAGTCGTAGCCCGAGTCGTGATCCATTCGTTAATAAGAGTTGACCATTGCTTCGATACACATCGGAACCTCGCAACTGACTTCAACGGGATTCTCGAGAGTATATCGACCGTTACAATATCCCAAGGGATATAGGTTGTGTCTGATAACTTACCTCCGCCGCGATCTTGTCGTGAGGACTTGTGCTTCTGTTGATTCTCCTCTTTGCTTCCTCTCCTCATGGTGTCTGTCTATTTTCTCCTTTGAATTTCCAACGACGAAGACGCTCAGAGTCGAAACAAAAACCTAACTTGCTTGAGGCTTATATATGACTTCTCTCATAACTTAAAAGGATGGAACGCAAGAAAAATTAACAAATTACAAGTAGCCTAGTTTTATGGCCCAATAGGTTTTAGAAATTAAAGGCCAATATTTGCGATTAGAATCCTGCAAATAATTTTGTTAGTTTATACCGTACTCATCATCTACAACGATTAATTCTTTATGAAATCTAATTATTTCCGGGTTTTTTCACATGTCTATATGAACTAATGACTGGATCGGATTTGTAGCATTTTGATTTGTATACTAGTTAGTGGCTGTCGATAGTAATATAAATCCAAATTTAAACGGATTATTAAAAAAATGAATTCATGATTAATCAGAGTTTGAGTTTTTTCACAATTTTCTTCTTCTGTTGGCTAGATACCCCATTAAAGATACTATTCATGAAATAATTTTTTTTGTAAAGTTATTATTCATGAAATATTTTTTTTTAATACTTTAATGTTTTAATGTAATTTCTTATTTTTTTAAAGTTATGTAAATTGGAAATTAATAGAACGATAATTTTCTTTTATGATTTCTAAAAAATAATAAATTTACAAGCTAAGCTTTATACTAAATTTCGATATGTATACCAATTTTAGATAGATTCTACTGATCGTTATTGGATAACAGTAAATCCTTGTGTTTCTCTCAGCCTAGAGTCTAAGAGAGTATAAATCACGCAAGTATAGCGCATGATCGTGTAAGAGTTTGGTAGAATTTCTAGTTTTTAATTTTGAGATCGTAATCAGGTAGCATATTTTTATTCTTATATTTACAATTTTATTAGGTATATATTATAAGGTAACGGTATAATTCATGAGTCATGACCAACCACAAGACATTAGGAATAAAAATGCATTTCATGTATGATTCCAAAATATTCATGGTTGTGTTGGATTGTGGCATGATAGGATGTCTAGTGTCTACTCAAAGATGAAAGATCGTTTGGGAAACCGTGGCTTGGACGTCCCAGTCACTTGTCCCCTTGCAGTGAGGCCGATGAGACAAGAGATTTTTTTCTTTCGAACTGTTATTTTTTAAGGAAAATATGGGATTGTATCTAACTAACTACATCTCAATCTAATGCCCCAACTCAGTTTCCTATGGACATTATACTTTGGATCAAGATGGCGAAATTTGTGATTCAAGGATCTTTTATATGTGAATGGAAAAAAAAAAGATTAATATTTTTAGAATAGTTGAAGGATAGTGCCTAAACAAAAATGCAATATTTATTAGAAAAACTATCAAGACATAATATTAAGACAAAAAATATCTGCAATCTCCCACTCGAAGTTTTAGTTCCCCATTTTCGATTGCAACCATTGCATCCCTGTTTTGCTTCGGATCATAACAGTAGGCATAGAAAGGTTTAGCAGATTCCAATGTCATGGGCATTATCACAATCTCACCATCAAGAGTGACAGCGATGCAATGACTAACTCCTAGTCTCTTTAATATTCCATGAGGTATGCTCAATATAATCTTAGACCATTCTTGTTTCTCGCTGTGATGATCTTCCATAATCCACATCTCCGCACTTTCCTCGTTGTAACTTATGCAACCTAATCTCCCTTGGTAGTTTACCAGAGTCAATCCCTCCAACCGACACATCTGAAGAGTTTTGGGCATCTGGATACGATCAAATCTTTCGAAACTAATGTCGAACCACACTAGTTCGTTAAACTCCGGATATGGCCAGCTTCCTATATGTGATATGTAATAGATAATCCCATTGATGCATAAACCATTACTCGTTGCTGCTGGTGGAGAGTGATCCCAAGTGCCTTGGATGTCAAGGCTCCTCCACA